TTTTGTTTTTTATCCTTGCTCATTTTCTTCTCTGCCCTTCTAAAGCCTCCACAATCACTTTTGTCTCGCGACTTCCCTCTTCGACTCTCCCTCTCTCTCTCTCTTTCTCTCTCTACCTTGTTTCCCACCGGGGAATACTCGCATGCGAGAAACGACGCATAACGACGTTGATAAGGGTTTCTCGAAGTTTGAATTTCGTTGTTCCACAACGTCTTTCGCCAAATCGACTTGGCCAAATTTCATTCCGAGTGAAGACGATGGGAACACGATGATTTGATGTGCACGAGTTGTCTTCTAACTCGATGAGAAATTTAATTTTAGTTTCAGCTCTTCCCGACTTAATAACGATTAAAATTTCCATCATTCTTTGTTAATCAATTTTGTGCTGTCAGCCAGCTTAATTTAATTAACAATTGATCAACATAATTTGATTAACAATTAAATTGACCTGATTAATTGATACTTTATGTTTTCTTTTCTTTTTTTTTTTTTAATTTATGGTTAACGTCCTAGACGATTGTGTCTTATGGTAGATGTTGGTTTCCTTTGGATAGTTCAGGACATTGTTCTATGTGTTTCTGTGACGTCAGGGCTGCTGGTGATGTTATTTTGTATTTTTGCCTATTTTGGACGTGGTACTTGATGAGTTGATACTTTATGTTTTCTTTTCTTTTTTTTTAATTTATGGTTAACGTCCTAGACGATTGTGTCTTATGGTAGATGTTGGTTTCCTTTGGATAGTTCAGGACATTGTTCTATGTGTTTCTGTGACGTCAGGGCTGCTGGTGATGTTATTTTGTATTTTTGCCTANTATTTTTGCCTATTTTGGACGTGGTACTTGATGAGTTGATACTTTATGTTTTCTTTTCTTTTTTTTTAATTTATGGTTAACATTCTAGACGATTGTGTCTTATGGTAGATGTTGGTTTCCTTTGGATAGTTCGGGACATTGTTCTATGTATTTCTGTGACGTCAGGCTTGCTGGTGATGTTATTTTGTATTTTTGCCTATTTTGGACGTAGTATTTGTGAGTTGATATTATTTGGTTGCATTGGTTACACATTGGGGGGTTCTGTTTTTTTTTTTTTTTAAACAGGTACTCATGTGTGCAGTGTCCTGTTCTAAGCCTCGCTATTAATCAATATTACGTTGGTGAATGTTATTAATTTCTTTATTGAATTGACAGATTGGAAACATCAGAGGGCAGCTGGCAGAATTCGGAGGCCTCGATAAGGGAGGCGTTGAAAAAGGCCGCGGAAGCTGCGATTTCCGAACAACCTGACAACGAAGAAGTTAAGAATATACTGAGAAGCACTGCGGAGAGACAGCTTGAATACGCCTTGAGTAAGTAAGCGAGGATTCCTTCCTCGAAATATAGAAATAAAAATCAATTTCAGACACTTTTAGACAATTTTCAGTCCTCCTCTAACGAGCGTGTGAGTATTAGTTTCTTCGATTAATTTGATGACTGTAGAACGATTCTTTCTTTTTTTTTGCAGAGCTGGACGAAACAGGCGAAGGCGTGATAGCGGTGACACGTTCGTGGAAGGGGAAAAAGGCAGCCAGAGCAGTGGCCTCGTTAAAGTCGTTAGTGAACAGCCGTTTGCCACCTGACAACATAATCAACGTGGAAGTGGATCAGAAACAAGGTGGAATCAATCCCGATAACAGGTCACACAAGGGTTACCTGGCGCATCTTTGCCGTCTCGTGGTGAATCGCGTGCAGAATCTGGTGAACAGCTCGATCGAGGCCGACCCGGAGATCAAGAGTAAAAAGAAGATGGTGCAGGAGATCTACGCGGAGAGTTTGATGCATTTGGCGCTCCTTCGAGAGGTTAAACCTAGCGAAGAGAACGAGAATGTCGAGAGGATCAAGGAGACCTTGATAGCCGGTAACCGTTCGATTTCTTTTCGCTTGCTGTAGTAGGCTTGTAACTGTGGTTTACGATTTTTGAGAGTCTTCAAGGGACGGGAGGGGAAAAACTTGGAATTAATCATTGTACTGCTTTCAAAGTGAGAGAATTTTAAAAGTGAATGCACAGCGTGGCAGAGACGTTAATTAAAATATTGAATTCATCCTCTTAAGTTATCCAGAACCATGATCCTTTGTATGCTTTGAGGATATTAAAGGTAGATGCGCGTGCACGACTGTTCGCTTTGTGATTTAAAGTGTATTAAATTTGTTAAGCTGTGTTAAAGCAACAGCTCCCAACACAGCTTGTCTAGCCGTTAATTTATATTTCACGAGGCAATTTACTTTCAAGAGATCTGGATCGTGTATATAGCCAGAAAGGAAATAAAGACTGCGAGAAATTACAATATTTTATCTGCGATTGAAGTCACTTAAAGAAATGATAAAAATCGAGAACGATCATTTTATAAAAGATGGAATTTGTTTCTTTTAGTCAACATCAATGCAAGTGTTAAAATTCTTGCAAATGATTATGTACGTGCGTTTGACAGGTAAATCGCAAAAACACGGCCCGATACTAATAAAGGGCGGCAAATACTCTGGGAAATCATCGTTATTGTCAAGAATATACGCGGATGCCTCCTCCTGGTTGGATTGCGCCACTTTCAGGGTGGTCCGGCTCTGCGCTTCCACTCCTCGATCGGCGTACAGTCTCGAGCTACTTCGAGTGCTTTGTCAACACGTGGGTTTCCTATCCGGTTCGTTGGACGGGAATCTTCCTCAAGATGCCTCGTTCGATCCTCTTTATCTGAACAATTGGCTGGGTCAAATTATGAGACGGATCGAGGAGGAACCGATGAAGGAGCAGTTGGTCATTCTCCTCGACGATCTTCATCGATTGCATCCCCTCGATTGCGACATCGTCGCTGCTCTGTCCTGGTTGCCCCTGAATCTTCCACCAGGTGAACTCAATTAAACCAACATTCATATGCAGAGTCATACTCTTTGAATAGACAGATAATAATTTAAAAATTCTCCGTGTATTTTTTCGTGTTTAAATTTCGAACGAATTTCGAAAGCAAAATAAAGAGAAACGTAATTTCCTTGTTTCTTGTTTCAACTTTCAGGAGTGCATTTAATCGTGACTACAGCCTTTCCACCGGAGGTACTGCGTCTCACCCCGGTACAGAAAGAAAGGCTGCGCAGCAGCGAGATTTTAATCGAGCTGCAGGACCCGGGCATAGATTTCCACGAGACGGAGAAAGTTTTCGGCACGTTGGAGAGATTAATAGGTGAACGCGCGGCTAACAGAATCGGGGCCATTCTGGCTTCGACGGAGTATGGTTTGTCGGAGACGGAGATTCTCGAAGTGATCATGCCAACTGGAGGAGACGGGCCACTGTTTTTGAACGACGGTTTGTTCAATTTTAGTACCTGGTGCTTGGTTAGGAGAACCTTCAACGAATTCCTCAAGGTAACTATTTCTCACTCTGACAGAGGAATGTTCAAATATTTATTAATATTAAAAATATTTATTAGTATTTAAATATTTATTAATATTAAAAATATTTATTAATTAATATTTATCAATATTTAAATATTTATTAATTAATATTTATCAATGCTTATATATTTATTAATATTAAAAATATTTATTAATTAATATTTATCAATATTTAAATATTTATTAATTAATATTTATCAATGCTTATATATTTATTAATATTAAAAATATTTATTAATTAATATTTATCAATATTTAAATATTTATTAATTAATATTTATCAATGCTTATATATTTATTAATATTAAAAATGTTTATTAATTAATACTTATTAATATTTATTAATATTAAAAATATTAAAAGATCGTCACTCTCTCTCTCTCTCTCTCTCTACATACATATATATTAATTGGTTTTTAGTACCTTTAGACAAATTCGTAAGAAAGAAAATTTTATGTTAATTAAACGTTTCTCCGTGAACTTTCGGACAGTTACACTAATTTGGTAGTTATCGATCATTCATTCGTTGTTTGCAGGTGCGCGTGATGAGCGGAAGGCTGTTATTCTCGTGGCGTTATCCGATCCGCGACCTAGCTCGAAAGAGATACTTCCCCAATCAGGAAATATTGAAGAGCTACCACGGCGAATTGGCGAATCTCTTTTTCACGGAAGATTTCGGGGAGAACGATGATAAATCTTCGCCTGAGGAGGAGACTCCGAAGAAGCAGACGCCATTCCAGAGCAGACCGAGGTCGCAAGACACAGCGTACAACTTGAGACACGTGGAGGAAGCTTGGTTACATTTGCTGCGAGCTGGAGACGTGGAGAAGCTGAAGAAGCTGGCCGTCTGCGCGTTCGATTTCCTTCTGGCAGCCGTGCAAATGATCTCCGTCAGTTACCTAAGATGTGTCCTCGAACACTCGAGGAAGTATTTGCTGGAGAGGGATTTGGAATTGGTTTACTACACGGTGAGAAAGTCCAGTGACATTTTGACGAGAGATCCTCTTCAACTCGGGGCGCAGCTGATCTGTTGGCTTAGACCTGTGGCTGAAGATGGCGGTGATTTGGTGAGAAATTGATTATTGCCTTGTTAGGATAATGATGAAAACATAAGTGGGAAAAGTTGTTGTCATCAAGGTGGAAATCTTTTTGGTAATCAGAGCTGACGTAGATGGAATAGCATGTATTCTGTAATTAAATATAAAGACTCTTAATAAAAATAGATCTAAATAAAAAATAATTGCACCTATCTTGAGTTTAAGTAATAAAAAAAGTTAAAGTTGTAAAATATTTTTATGATTCAAGGTCAGTAGAATGGTTACAGCGGCGATGGCGTGGTGCGATGGTTATACAGCACCGTTATTGGTACCATTAAATGGATGGCTTCAACCGCCTCTACCTCTTCAAATTCGCACTTTGTCTTGCCCGCAAGGCGTGAAACTGGTCGAGGCTGCTCCTTCAGGGCAACATGTTATCATTGTCCCTTTCCAAGGGGATGCTCAGTTATGGCACGTGATGTCTGGACAATTGGTTCATACCTTCAAAGGTAACTACCAAATTCCTTCAAGCAATTGTTCTTTGCACGCAAAGCTCTAATCGATTATCTTGCAAAATAGTGTAATAAATACTATTTTCTTTTAAAGAGCATCAGCATTAGCTAATGAGAAATGAGAAAAAGCAGCGAGAAGCCTTCGTTTGTATCTGAATTTGCATTTAAAGATTATTCGAACGGCAGCGCCATTCGAATTTGCAATTCAAAATCGGGTCACGGTTTTTACGAGAATATAATCCGGCCAATGTAGATAGTACTTGAAGTGCCATTTTAAGCACGTGATATCATATCACTGTGGTATTTCTCGCCATTTCATAAAAGAACGACGATGGAATTCAATATAAGTCAGAGATATTGATCTCCTCGCGATGTAACGCGAATTTCTCGTATTTCCGCCGATATCTAAAGTATAGGTAACATCCGTGTGTCTCTTTAAGATCACGAAATATTAAAAGTGAAAATTAAATAATTATTCCCTGATCATTTCAAACAGAAATTAGGAATTCGTCAAATTCGAACTTCGACGAAACGAGATTTCGTTTGAAATATATTTCCCTTGAAAAATATTTTTCCAGGACATTCGAACCCGATCTCGTGTTTAGCCGTGACGCAACACTCGCAGTATCTACTGACAGGCTCCGAAGACACATCGATCATAGTCTGGGACATGAAAGAATTGACTTTGAAGCTGAGAATCCAAGAACACATCGCCCCAGTTCTGTGCTTGACGTCCGCGCTCAAGAATTCAGTGATTGTCAGGTTCATAGTTTTATCATAGGAATCGATAAGGGAACATAGTCGCTTTCCTCCTACTACAACACATGAAAGAGGCACGCTTAATCGTATTTATTTTTATTTATTTATTTTCTGTTCCTTTTCTCTAGCGGCGGGGAAGATTCCAGAATAATCGTCACCAGTCTTCTGACCGGCGATGTTCTCATCAAGGTGGACCACCACAGAGGACCAGTGAACTCCATTCGCGTCGATTCTGCGGGGGAGATCCTCGTTTCCGGTTCCTCGGACTGTACAGTTTGCCTCTGGTGTCTGGAACGATTCACACTGTTGAAGAGCATTGTTTTACCATCTGCTGTGACGATGCTCGACGTGTCAGCGGACTCGGTGTTCCTGTTGGCGGCCTGCGAGGATCAAAAGTTGTATTTGAGATCGTTGGCGACAGGGACTGAGATTCATACGTTGAGAGGGCATCAAGGCGAAGTGAGGAGTATCTGCTTGGCGAGGGATTGTAGAAGAGCGATTGCTGGAGGAACCAAGGGCAAGGTTTCTGTGTTTGACATGCATAGCGGAAGATTGACAAGAACGTTGCCGACAAATCCCAGTGCAGATGTTACCGCTGTCAAGGTAAAAGCACACATTGAATTAACGACAACAATGTACGAATAGTATTTCATAGAAATTTTAGAGACTTTACTAATGGTAGTTTTAGTTTCAATCTTGTGTTAGTTGCTCTCTTTCACTTGTTAAAGTTGTATTTCTCCGAATCGGTTTGTATGATCTATATCAGACTTGCTTGGTGTTAGGTCGTCTGGAAAGTTGATAAAGCGAACTTTGAAAGAGAATTTAGTTATTTTCTTACTGCTAGTCGCAGTAGCTTTACAAAGCAGTTACAGCGACTGTGCTCCCTCAAATAGAGCTGCTTCTTTAGAGTATTCAATTTCTCGCAGTTAGAGGAATAGCTTGATCGATTATCGAAACGAAAATAAACCGCGGTGAATCGTCACGGTATATGATAGTAAGTTGTAAAAAACAGTAAGAAATGTCTGTGAAACTTTTATGTTAAGCCTGGAATGAAATTTTTTCGGAAAGGTGACGGAAAAGGACGACTTCCTGATAACAGCTTCCGGTGATCGGGTGGCTTATTGGAGTTTTCGTGGCGAGGAGGCCCACACTAAACCCCAAAAGTCCATGAAAGAAGTAACGTTACACCCGCACACTGCTCCCATATCATGCTTGGATATATCCAGGGACGGGGCAATGGCGGTTACCGGCGGAGTCGATTCTCTCGTAAATCTCTGGCAATTGAATACTCATGAGCTGCTTTCCACTTTCGAAGGACATATCGCTAGTGTCACCTGCATTGCATTCTCAGCTTCTGGTTTATTTGTTGCTTCCGGTGGGTGTATAGATAGAAATTGAAAACAAGTTTGTTTTATTAACGCTATAGCTTAGAGATCAGCTCGTTTGAAACGCTCATTGAAAGTGAATAACAGTGTTGTTCATAATTGCAGCACATGCTACATGTGTTTAAATTGAAATCGACTTGACCGCTTAAATTTGTTCAATTGGCGTTCAGTAACGAGGAATCCAATTGGAAAACAGGTTCCGAGGACAAGACAGTTCGCGTTTGGGGCCTGACTTTAGGTTTACTGGTATCGACGTTTAAACACCAGGCACCTGTCACTGCTGTGACGGCTATGTTCGACGGCCGAAGGATAATCAGTTCTGATAGGGCTGGTTCGATTCGAGTCTGGGCAGCTGACACTGCCACCCTAATTCAGTCAGTGTGTGGGCCTGGACGGTGTTTCACAGTTTCTTCTGATATGAGGTACACGATTCACTAATATTTACTAATGATCGTAATATTATGATAGTAATTTAAATATTCATAAAATAAATGTATAATACTTAAATAATAGTAATACTAAAATAATAATAATAATAATAATAATAATAATAATAATAATAATAATAATAATAATAATAATAATAATAATAATAATACTAAAATAAATAGTACTTAAATAGTACTTAAATAATAATAATACTATAATAATATTTAAATTAAAAATAAATATTTATTTTTAATTTAAATATGTAATATATATTTAAATACTATAAATATTCATAAAATAAATATATAATACAATAAATAAATATTTATTTTTAATTTAAATATGTTTAATTTAAATTTAATTTAAATATGTTTAATTTAAATTTAATTTAAATATGTTTAAGTATTATAATATAATGATAATAATGCGAATTAAAACTTCAGATACGGAGTATGTGGAACAGGAGACAATCAATTAAGAATAGTAAGTTTAGGAGCCGGCCCGGAAGAAAAGTACCAAGTGTCGCATTCTCAAGAAATCACTTGCCTAGTTGTCACTCCGGATTCTCGCTCATTGATCACCGGCTCGAGAGACATGAGTTTGAAAGTGTGGCAGCTTGCCGGTGGCAAATTATCGCAGGTATAGCGTGCAAGATATATTTGATAATTTGATAAATATGTAGTGATATTTCCGAGCCAAATTGTTTACGCATTCTTTATTGTCTAAGCCTCCACTAAGCAGCAATGTGAAAGTGAAAGCGCGAGAAATTTTGTTGGATTTGACACAGGTTCTCGTTGGTCACACGGATCACGTCACCTGCGTCGCAGTTTCGGTGCTCGACAAATCAATCGTAGTCTCTGGCTCGAGGGATGCCAATCTAATCGTCTGGGATATCAATACCGGTAGCGATCTGCACACTCTGAAAGGTCATCTAGGATACATAACGTGCGTGAAACTGTCGGGCGATGGAACATTGGCTGCGTCTGGAAGCGAGGACAAGAGTCTGATCATCTGGGACACGAAAAAGGGCTGTTCACTGAGTAGCATAATGCTGCACGTTCCTGTGTTAGGTGTGGAACTGGCTACCGATCTGTCGAGGCTCGCGTTGTATTTACTCGAGCACAAATGCATGCCCATTCTATGTTTGCACAATACTCCGGCACAGTATGTCAAACTGCCGGATTATGTGGCGCCTTGGTGCGATACTAGAGATTTGAGGCCACGAAAGAGACCGAATAAGAGATTATTGAAGAAAGAAGTGTCATTAGATAGCGACACGTGGCATAGGAAATATGGCCATCTTACATCAGGTATTTCCTAACTTTCTAAATTAGAGCTTTCTAGATCTAATTCTATCGAGTTAAATAACTCTACTAACGTCTTCATTTCTTTCTCTTGTTATGAGTTTGTCTACAAAAATTGGGAGAGCCATCGTGTAATTTCAGGAATCTTGACGTCGTCGGTGGAGGACGGTTTACAACGACGATTTAGCGTAAGCGCTTCCATGGACGAGATTAGCAAAGTCGGATTGACGAGTAGCCCGTCCGGTTTAGGGCCGGAACAAGCTGCTCTTGCTCAGTCGCAACATTTCGATCAGCTCGAAGCTCTTTGGAACAAACAATCGCCGCCTGCTAGACCTCGTGCTCACGGTAGAACTCTGTCGAAACAAAGCTCCTTGCAGGCTACGCGAATATCCGATTCTGAGGAAGAAGGCAAGTTTAACAAATGTGTTACTGTTAATGTTAAAGTTTCATTCTTTTTTTTTTCTGGGTTTTATTATCTTTTCAGAGATACTTTTTTAAACGATACCGTACGATCTACAAAACAATTTACTGCATGTTGGTAGTGGTTCAAAATATTAAATATCTAATTAAAATAAATTTATAGGTGTACCAGATTAAAATAATACCTTGGTAGAAACTAAACGGACTAAATCCTAATCTTCGTACCTTCTTCTTTTTCCACTGTCTTTCGAAAAATTAAAAAAAAAAAAAAAAAAAAAAAAAAAAAAAAAAAAAAAGAAAAAAATAATACAAAAGGAGAATCTAAACGAAGGCGCACGCCCCTGAGATTAAAGCTATAAATTACGAATTTTTCGTGTGTGATGCAATAAACGTAAATATATACATATATAAATAAACATAGGTACACACGTGTATGTATATCGATATTAGAGAAGAAATAAATTCAATTAATTTATTTTCATCCCCCATTCCCGACCTATTTCGAGGATTATTTTTGAAGAAGATTATAAATGAATTATTTCGATAGTACTTTACTTGTATTTTAATGAGATTATTGCCTTTTATAAATGAACAGTGACAATGAGTCATTTTCCGTGCACACGACGTAACGATTTCATTTATAATTTTGATTATTAAATTAAACTTCAACAAAAGATAACGTTGTTATTTTGTCCGTGTAAACACTATATACCCTTTAACGTGAAAGTTACGGCTGACGCTAGCTTAGAATTAATTTTTCAGCTGCTTTTGATAGTAGTCGGAGACGATTTGCCATGCTTTCGGCGCCATGAATCCTTCCGGTGGATTTTCACCTGCTTTTGCCAAATCTGAAATAATCGTAATGAATATTTACTGATATCCTATCCAGTGCTAATACAAGAGTATAATAAAATGTACAACTCACTTCGCATTTTAGTTCCCGATATGAAAATAAAATCCTGCGATCGTTTCTGTTCGAAGAATGCCATTTTTTTCGCTTTACTGTCGTAAGCTGCTACCCTAAATGGAATTATTTCGAGATCCTGAAGGCCTGGCGCCATGGACAGAACCCTCGAGCCGTGCGTCTCGTCGTACAAATTTCCTAAAGTAAGCAATGATATCAAATTTCTCGTACAGGCGATAAACATCACTATTGATTGATTAATTAATTCAAGTACTACCATCGGGAGTTTTAGACTTATCCGGATGCGGCAAACCCGCAGGATCACGGCCAACGATGAAAAAGTTTGCGCCTGCCATCATTCTTCCTTTAGCGTGCCACTGCACCTAAAATCGAACGAAGAACAGATTCACTCTCCACTCTAATAACTTTAATATGAGTATGACGTCCTTTTTTTAATTTTTAATTTTTTTCTGACGTTAATTAGAAAAGTTCAGAGAGAGAGAGAGAGAGAGAGAGAGAGAGAGAGAGAGAGAGAGATAATACCTCTGTAGGGCCAGCGTAAAGCATTGGACTTGGAAAAATGGCAAGGATGGTGTCTTCGTGTAGTACACCTTCCTCAAGAACGCTTCGGTGTTGATTTATTCTCACATGTAGGGGTACGTCGTCGTCTTTTGTCCATCCTCCCAGAGGATGCAGCAAAAGAACTGGTTTGTTAAAGCCACGTTCTTCCACGAGATATCTTCTTGTATCCTGATTAAAAACAAGATACAGCCGCACGTTTCATATAAGGAATGACGGCAGTTCTCACTTCACAATAAAGAGAAAAAAAAAAAATGTAATAAAACAAACCTGAATTAAGAGCGCGTGGCCATTGTGTATCGGATTTCTCAGCTGGAAAGCGAAAACAGCGTCCGCGCCCATTTCTCTGGACTTTCTACGAATTTCGTTTGGGGTGAGTCTGTATCTGTCGAGACCATCGTTCCATCTGATCCTCTCCAAAACTTCTAATTCACCACCGACCAGCCAGTCACCCGATTCCTGGATCATCCTGACGTAAGGATGTCCAGGATTGTTTGTCCCGAATTCTCTGCTACATCTGTTCACGATTTTCTCTTTTAAGGCAAGTTTGTTGCCACTCAATTTATCAAGAAGTTGTTAGCTATTACTGCAGCTGTGTCTTTGGAATTTCTCTTTAAAAAAGAAAATTTATCTATTCCCTTTTTCTTTAAAATCTCTTTAGAAAAGGTTACCAGTATTTTATATCCCTCTACTTGTGTTTATAACTTTTTTGAATTTCTTTTGGTCCCCTAACGTCTCTTGCAAGCAAGCAGCGAATATTTAAGAACAATTAAACATAACGAATTTGTTAAATTTTCTAACAATAAGCGAGAAGGAGAAAATGTTTAAAATTTGGAAAAAGAAATGGAATAAATGAGGTATCAACCTTTCTTCTTTCCTATGGGCGAAAAATTCGGGTCTTCTGAGAATTGCGATGTCTCGATGTTTGTGTTTTAAGACCAACGCTGATGCATTGGCGCATGTTTCTTTCTGAGTTGCGTTGACTGGAAGTACGATAGGTATCGATTGATTAATGACGCCTCCATCGTGTTCAATAATGTTGAAATGTTGACACTGATAAAAAAAAACAGTAATCGTTCTTTTTTTTTTATTTCGTTTTGATAGTAACTTTTTGATAATAATCTAACTTATCTAATTTATCTGGAACTTTTTAGAGACTATGCCTGCAGTTTGCAGATAACCATTTTATAGAATTTTTATATTAGAATTTTTATATTCTTAATTTTTTATCTTCAATATTTTATCACATTCGGAGAAAGTAATCACAACTTGGAAGTGTTTTTTTTTTTTTTATAACTAATATAGATAACTATTTCTTCCTGTTCCTTTACGTATTTTCAATATAAAAAATATAAAATATCATACTCACTCGCAAATATTGATCTTCTCTCATGAAACCCTTAAGTGGAGCTGCCCAACCTTCAGCGAGCACTTGAACCCATTGCAAGTCGATATCAGTGATTTCGATACCTTAAATTAATCACATACGACATTCTTAAATTAGTCATAGTTTCATGTCATTGTTCTTTACTTTAATTTAAATATTTTTTTATTATTATTTTATTTTATTTAAGTCGTTGTTTCAATTTGCCTCAATCGTCGATTCTTCAAGAAGATAACATTAGAAAATATTTACTCGATAGACTGACGTAGTCAGTAAACGAATTGTTTATCCGGAAACCTTGTCAATTTGACGTGATTGAAATGAAATATGCGTTTCATCTAAACAATGTAAATTCATTTTAAATGTTATCGTAATAATCATAGCCTCTATCAGTTTGGAAGAGACTCTTCTCTATCTTATCTCCACGTATACGTATCTTGACAATGAAGCTGAAAAATGTTGTCTGTTTAAGTAACAGTTCAAAAATATGTTGGGTTGTAAATATCTTTCGTAATATCTTAACTAATTATCTTATACAAATAGCTCTCAAGGATTAAAATGAGATAGATAATAATAATAATAATAATAATAATAAAAGGCTCCAACGTACTAGGAAAATTCTCCGCTTCCTTCTTCGCCCTTTCCATCTCTTTCTCGTCGACAAACAGCTCATCGACCGTTTCTCCAAACTCTGGGAGGACTTTCTGCACTCTCAAGAAGTCGATCAGCATCTTCGTCGAGGCCTCCAAGTCATGAACCTCCGTATTCACAACGAGGTCGGGATCTTTAGGCGTTTCGTAATTCTGCCCGATGCCGGTGAAGCTCTTGATGATCCCCTTCCTGGCCTTCTCGTAAAGACCTTTCACATCTCGGGCCTCGCAGGTCTCCACGGAGGCTTGCACGAAGACTTCGAAGAACTTGAGATCGAAGTCCTCGTGTATCGTCCTTGCCAGCCTTCTGTCTGCTTCGAACGGCGAGACGAAGCTGCAGATGGCGATCACGCCGCAGTCGGAGAACAATTTCGCCACCTCCGCCGCCCTTCGCACGTTTTCTTCGCGGTCCTCTTTGCTGAAGCCGAGATCCCGGTTTAAACCATGGCGGAGGTTGTCACCGTCGAGGCTATAAGCTGGTATTCCCTGAGAGAGGAAGAGATGAGTGATCGCGAGCGAAGCAAGCAGTGCCTTCAGGCACTTTCGACGATCCGAGAATTCGAGACATTTGAAAATTTGGCAATTCAGGAACTTGAGAATCTAGGAATTCCTTCAGGAAGAATTTGGGAATTTAGGAATTTAGGAATTTAGGAATTTGGGAATTTGGGAATTTGGGAATTTGGGAATTTATGAATTTGGGAATTTAGGAATTTAGGAATTTAGGAATTTGGAAATTTGGGAATTTGGGAATTTGGGAATTTGGGAATTTGGGAATTTGGGAATTTAGGAATTTAGGAATTTAGCAATTCAGGAAACTAGGAATTTAGGAAGCTCACCCGAGAAACAAGGTAGTTCTCGAGCTGAAACGAAATGGAAGTCTTCCCAGCACCGGAGAGCCCTGTCAGCCAAATTGTACATCCACGGAATCCCTTGAACTTCCCATAGGTTCCTCCTCGTCTTTCCCTCGACACGTGGTGCACTTGCTTGATCACATTCGTCGCGAGTACCTGAAAAATGGAAATTTTACATTGTCATTCCCCAGGCAGCAGAAATACGTGGAGATAGAATTATTTTTCAAAGTATGATCGCTGCGCCTGATGATGCTTAAATGCTTAACTGGCATTGTATAGATAAAACCATATAGCTCTAGATTAAGAAATTATCTCTGCAATATAAGGATTTGAACGGGGCTCTCAATAAATAAGAATTCTAATTCTATTTAACTCCAATTTAATAATTTAAATTTTCATCATTTAATCATATGAAGTAGAAGGCAGTCTGCTTCATCCAATTTGAAACCATTGAACTGTCATAAGTATTCAATTGAAATAATTGAACTGAAAATCAATGAATTATTGGAAAATCTTCACCTGATTATTTCTTTGCGCATTTCGATTTTCCAACGGAGACTTCGTGTATATTCCCATTGTGCGTGATGTTTAATAACTAACTTTGATCTAAACTGTCTTTGATCTAAACTTTGATCTAAACTGTCTTTGATCTACTTTGTCTTGCAATATTTAGTTTATATTATATTTAGATTGAAAGTTTAGTTTATATTGTATTTAGATTGAAAGTTTAGTTTATATTATATTTAGATTAAAAGTTTAGTCTATATTGTATTTAGATTGTATTCAGATTTAGATTAAATTGTATTTAGATTGTATTTAGATTAAATTTGACTAATTTATTTTTGTCCAAATGAACAGACTTGATCTTGATCAGTTATTATCTAAGATTAGATCGTATAATATTGATTCAGATACGGTCAAGTAGTATTGTCCAGATCTTTAATTTCGTACAAGAGACACTGAGAAAGGAAGTATCCACGTGTGAGTTTTGAATTGACTGCCAGAGACTTAAGTTCCGTCTGTTAAGCGAGAAAGTGAAAAGGAAAGTAACTTGGTTCGCCGGTGGGGATCGAAGAATTTCTCGTAATAGTTGGAATATCGGAAATTAGAAATCATAAACAGGAACTAACAGTGTATACATAACTTGACGTGTATCATTCAACTTTACTCAGCACGTGAATTAAAACATTTAAATTTCTAGGCAAATAAACGTCAAACTACGTTTGTGTGTCTGTTCAGTCTAACTAACTAGCTAAAACATAATTTAACTAAAAAGGGGACGATATTTTTGAAGATACAAAGAGCAGAATGCAAGAGTTCGTTTAATAAGGCATTGACTAAAATTTGGTTCAGACAAATTCAGGGCTAGTATATAAACAGAGTTCTACTCTACAGGTAGAAAAAAGGTCCACGTGTAAAATATGAATTTCAAACTTTATCTCCACGTCACTCTACTCTCTCGAGATTGATTGGCATTATAATTTATTATAGCAGATCGAGATTTTTAAAAAAAAATACCTTAATGTAAAAGTTATTATCTAAGATCAGATATGATTGACTTCTCTATTTAATTTAAATTTAAAACGCTATCAGTAAAATACAATATATCGTTTGAATGTGATTTCAGATCGTTTAAGCGTTTGGAAACTCTAAAACCACCGAAATACACGTAAATTTTATAGAGAGAAATTTGTTGAATTTGTACAAGAAGTTGGTAGAAAAAGGCAGAATTGTAATTTGACGAGATTGCATAAGATCTTGAAGAAAAAAAGCGAAACACGTGGAATTTTTTTTTACACATTCGTTTGCTTAATACGTGTTACGTGCGTGTGATTAATCATTTATCTCTGCAAATGGAAAAAACAGAGAACTCGCGAATAATGACTCGCAACCTAGTTTCATAATAATGTAATCAACATATTTTTGCGAAGATTTTGAAAATAGGCTGCCGAAAATTTTAATCATTAGAAGCTATATATATAGCGTGCAAAGATATTATAAACGTCTATTTTGTTCGAAACAAAAAATAACTTAACTTCTTCATTTTATTTATAAAATTAATTCCAAGTATCATAGTTCAGTTACAGTTTTTAAATTTAACACAATTATACACACATTCGAATGCACGCGAACAATTTGTACAATTTTTCATAGAATTTTTATAGATCTTGCATTTCTTTAGAAATTTGTTCTCTATAGTAAAGTTTTTCCTATTGTCAACGTAAACTCACGCGATTAGTTTCTCTATTACATTGCTCAGCTTCATTTTCGTGGTCCATTCTCCTCCAGAGACTTCTCTTCCTGCAATTTCCTGCCTTGAAATGAATGTACAATACTGAATTCAAACTCAGTTCGAAATTCACGAATTGATAATAATGACCTGCGCGGATGTACTGAGTTCCTGGTGACACGTGTTCTTTCTCATATATCACCGGCAAGTGTCAAGACGTCGTCTATCGCTTATATGAGAGGGGATGAATTACACGCAGTCCTCTCTCGCTCTCTTTTCCCTGTTTTTTCCATTCTTGTCCCTGAACAATAGAAAAACTCGAGCCGCCGTTGGAAAAACTCGAGGACGACGAAATTTTCTCGCGATTCGCTTCGAACTGTATCAGATCGACGTAATAGTTAGCAATAACTCTTAATTACAAATTGTATAATTCCCTCTGGTCGTATGTTTGAATTTTCCTTTTGACGTAAATGTAAAAGGAACATGGTTGAAGAATGATTTTTAATCAGCACGATACATCTTTTTTTCTTTTTTTTTTCTATTTCAGGTGCCACGGAATATTAATATTCTGCGATTGGATGTTGTTACGTCCTGTAATTTGCGAGTGATTGTAGCAATTACAATTTTCTTTCATCATCGCTCCGATGGGAACTGGGTTGTATGATTACGGCACAATTTATAGTTAATATTAGTGATTTGGAACTTTGTTCTTTCGCGTTTTTTTTTTTTTCCCCTTGAATGGAAGTACGCGGCAATGAAATACTAATTACAGCCCACGTAAATCCATATTTTAATGAAACGGGGACTTGAGACATAGAGGCAGATAGGAAAAATGAAGTTACAAACGTGAAATGTAGTTTATAATTTTATTATAATGTCGTGTTGATTTACCATTTTATCATTAATAATTAAAACAAAGCGAAGTGCTTCAAAGAAATTACATTTGATTCGCTTTTTAAATTCAAATATGGCTGCTTTTATATCGATACTATAAAGTCGAACAACTCGGCCATGGCGTAGAGTTCAGACGGCGGCAACTTCAAGTTGATCGAAAAGTTTTCGTTCAAACCTACTGTTCGTTGTATGTAAAGACGATATTTACGCAAAAAGAGTCCAATTTGTTGTTATTGTTGTATCAGTATATTTAAACGCATAATGTCGACGAAATCCTCCGTCGATTTGCGAGCAGAACTCGCCGAATTAGTGAAAAGAAAAGCAGAAATAGCCGTAAGTATTGAAGCAATTGTCAAACTGCGTCTCTTCTAATACATTTCCATTTAGATTTCCATCATACACGAGTTATTGAGTACGAGCAATATTATTGTAAAATAGTACAAATTTATTTATTAGCTGAATTATCAGTTTAAACTGTTTGCATTCTTTTTTAGACATTGCGAGGTTATGTTGACGTAAGCTCTCAATTTTTTTAATAATAATTAATGCTTTTACTTCCTGTTTTACTTATCTTTCTGAATGATTAACTATTGTTAATACAAAATACTTGTTCTTGTTAATTGAATTGAAAATGTTTCAAGTTATTTTTTGTAATATCAATGTCTAAATTTTCATATTAGCAAATATATTTGTTACTTGTATTTGGTATCATTACAGATTTCTTTGAAGAATAGAATAATAATTTTCTTTTCCGTTTTATATCATCTTTTACATAGGATTGAAGATAATTGTCATCATTTAACAAACTTGCATATTATTTATACTTCTACCATTGAATATGTTTTTTAATATTATGTAAAAGAATCTGTACTACATTATATTAACGTACGAATAATACTAATGTGTCTGTTTAATGTTTTAAATAATATTTGTAACAATATATTGATTTTCTTGTATGATATATTAAGAAATAAATCTGTTTAGATAATAAATTAATGTTTCTCATTTTTATCTGTACAAGGATTTATAACAACTTATAAATTTTCAATATTTACAAAAGAGCAGTGAAATTTTAATGAGTATAATTTTAATGACTATTGTCTTTTTTGTAGTATTGAGATCACTCTTTTTTTTTTTTTTTTTTAACTAAATATCAAGACTAATTTATTTTGTATGTTTTATAAGATTTTCAAATTTTGCAGGACACTCTTGCCAATTTAGAACGCCAGATCTATGCATTCGAAGGTAGTTATTTGGAAGATACACAATTGTATGGTAATATAATACGTGGTTGGGACAGATATTTAGCAAGCAATAAAAATACTAATAGTAAAGCAGATAAACGAAATAGGAAATTCAAAGAAGCTGAAAGGCTATTTTCTAAATCTTCTATCACCTCTATGGCTGTTAGTACATTTTATTTTATACCTTTTCAAAATAAACACTCTTATTTTCAGTCCAGAGTTTTTTACTCAAAATACTAATCATAAAAAATCAATTAAAAATTGTAACATTTCAAAAAAAAGTATAAATTTGGTATGCTTGTAATAAAAATTTCATTGTTTTCAATAGACGTATGAACTAGAGAGAATGAGCAATGACACTAGCATTTTAAAATATTTTATTGAATCTCAATAAATTGAAAGTATTATGTTTTTACAGGCAGTCAGTGGACTCGTCGAGAACACCCAGGAAAAAAGTAAGGACCTCAATGGATATTCCTGAGATAGTTAATTCTTTAAAGAAAAAAAGAGTACAACTTATTTTTCATCCTATCATCCTTTCCAACTTTTCTTTTTGTCCTCTCTCCTTGGAAATAATTCTTTTTAGTTTTTAAGTTATATCCTTGATTGTATTTCTTTTTCTTTTCAATGTATCGATCTGTCTTCCAAAAGAAAAAAAAAAACGAGCATAATAAATGAGAATTGTTACGAAGCACAATTGGTTAGAGTGACAAAAAAAAAAAAAAAGAGATTCGAAGAACATTCATTATTGCTCCGAATTTTTGACGGGATAATTTTTTAAATTCTGTATTTAAGTTACAAGTGAATCTTTATTCATTTTTTCAGTCTCTGTTTCGATGATAACTCGTTTGTCAAACTTTTTGAAACTAACTTTTTGATATATATTGATTTTTCTCTGTTTATATTCGTCTTTTTTCTGTATCTAATTACAAATAAATTCAATATCTATTTCTCTTACCTGTTTCGAAGTTTTATATAAAAAAAAAAAAGATAAAAAAAGTTACTCGATTCTAACGGTTCTATCTGCTAGCATTGCTTTGTTCTACATTTGTATGTCAGTAGTTGTAACTTGTAATTTGCTTTTTTTGTATATGTTGAACAGTGTAGAAAAAGACGTTAGCTTGGCATTGTTATCTTTATTTTCTATATTTATCTTTCCTCTGTATCTTAGCTTTAAATAATAAATCCACAGTTTTCTGTATTAATGTGGGTATAACAGAAACGTTTCTTTTATACTCTCAACGTAGAGAAGAGAATCTTTGCTCAGAAAACAAGTATTTATAACGATATTAAGTCGATCAAAATGCGATAATTCTGGTATCATACATTTCTTCCATTTTCATGTAAACATCGTTCTATCACGGTAAACGTTCTCTCATGTACTCGCTTTGCTTCTAGGTAGTTTCTTAAAATTGCAGAATGCTGAGGAATATAGAAACGTAGGTTTTGATCGATTAAACAATCAGTGTATATCAATTCTAATCTTGGAATTTCCAGTTTTATCGACTGGAAATTTCAAGTTCCTCTCGTTCAATTCTCCAAGATCTGCTGCGAAGATTTAGCAGATGTTAAATTTGCGATACAAAAGAATTTCGATAATTGTTCTCGATGTTCCAAAACTCGCGGACTCGTAAATGTTGCAAATGTGTCTGACGTTCTTTTTTTTTCTTTCAGCTTTCGAAAATTTCAAAATTCCTCGATTGTTTATCGACAGTTTAATCGATCAAACGAAAGCCAAAGTATGTTCTAACGAAACGATTGAATCGATTGAACGATCCTTGACTGATTAATTGCTCAACTCGACGACTAATCGGTCAATTCACTTGGTCCGTCGAACAAAACCGTACCGAACTGTCGATCGTGCAAACAATCGGCTAATCAATCATTCGATGATTCGGTGGATCGAGCCGCGTGCCGATTCGCGGTTTTCCCATTGTGAACTTGATTCCAGTTGACCGGTACAGTGAATCGGAGTCGCAGATCGGCAACAGCGGTAGCGAGGACAATTGCAGCCTCGTTAATTCACACGGGACCACCGCCAATAGTGGCAACGGCAACGGTAACAAGGAGACGTCCGGGAAAAATCACTCGGTGACTGGCCAGTACAGCCAGAATGGATCCGTCGCCACCTCGGCCGAGATCGCTAGACAATTCGCGAACGGGCACGCGAGCAACGGCAGCCTGGAGCACGTCTCCTTGAAGGAGAACACCGGCAAAGAACCCTCGAAAAATAAGTCTGGCAACAACGCGAAAAAGAATAGCAACAAGAGGTCCAGGAACAGGTAGAACAACCAGAACAGCCGTCATCTCCAAACGGGTCCATCGGGCGAGGACTATCAGCGGAACATCTCCCTCTTTGTTCCATTCCGTCGATGTATCAGATCTCGCTTCTTTTCTTTTCTTTTTTATTTTTTTTTTTTTTTTTTTTTTACGATAAACACTAACTTTCAGACACGGGG